GGCGTAAGGGCTGTGTGGTCCTGCACGGGTGGCCTCGCACGGGTCATGTGCGTGGGATGTGTGGAAACGTGGCCTCCCCGGCTCGGGGGCGGCCTTGGGGGCACAGGCTGGGGGGTGTGAGGTGTCACTGCGGGGGGCCGTTCCTCTCCCGGATTAACCCGCGAAGTGAGCGGGACCCTCCTGCTTGCAGGATGCGGAGCGCCGCCTCCCCCGGTTGTTTACTTCTGTCAAAAGGGTCTTCCCGCGCGGAAGTCCACCACAAAGATGAGCCCAGGCACACGGCCTTGGGGACGGTTTTCTGTTGGATCTGTCGGGCTCTGAGCACTCCTTTGGAACGTGGGCTCTTTCTGGCTGGCCGGTGTGAGTGACTGAAAGCAGCCCTCGGTGGTCTTGGAGTCAGGAGAGCTGGGGCCGGTCGGCCTGCTGGATAGACTTGCTATTGCACTGCAGTGTCTAGTGTTCCAGTTAGGCTCACACAGTGTTCTTGATTTTGAGCTCACACAGTGTTCTTGATTTTGAAAGATCCTTAACAGGTTGACAACTATAACGCCTAAAAAAAATAAAACCCAGCAGCATTGCACTGGCAAAGATTACCGATGAATGGACTTTTTTTTTTTTTAAAGCAGATTTTTAATCACTTTCCAAAATGAATTTTTCTTATATGAAATTGCAGGTTTTCTATATTGCATTAAATGAGAAACAAGAAAGAAATTCAAGAGAAAAATGTTAATGTATTGTTTTTGGGGGGGGTGAGTTCTCAAAAGTGTTTTTTATTTACTAGGTGATTATCCAGGGTTTTCGAAGTTACAGAGATCAAACAATTGTAGATCCCTTCAGTTCAAAACATAATGTGATTGGTAAGTGTTCTTGGTTTACTCGGTCATATTTATAGTCTATACAGATAACGTAAGTTCTGTCGATTTGTATATTGGCTTAAGGAGACAGGAATTGTCTTTGAATGTTAAGTAAAGTTATGTATATTTTTCTGCTTGAAATAACTTTTCTGTCTTATTGCACTGATGAATTGCTTATTTTTATGAACTTAAAATGTTTGGATAAGACACTCATAAGTGACCCATTTTTTATCTGGGTAGCCTTGTATGTATGTGTAAGAGTGTTTTAAAGCATTTGCGCCCTTCTGTTCTTGTTATATATCTTAAAATGCTGACTGTTGCCTTATTTCAGAGACAAGACAGTTTTTATTCACAAAGTAGATCCCAGAATTCCTGCCCTCCCCCCCACCCTCTAGTTCAGTGTCTCTAAGGACAGACCATGTAGCTAGATTGGAAGAGCATAAATTTTAGAGCATAACAGAATGGGGTTCCAATCCCAGTTGTAGGGGGGTGGGGGGCTGGGGGAGGGCGTTAGGAGAAATACCTAATGTAAATGTCGAGTTGATGGGTGCAGCACACCAACATGGCACATGTGTACACCTGTATAACAAACCTGCATGTTGTGCACATGTACCCTAGTATAATAATTTAAAAAAAAAATCCCAGTCACGCGTTCTTTTTGAGACTTTGAGAAGCTTCAGTTTTCTCATTTGTAAACCTGTCTCATAGGGCTGTTGGGAAGATTAAATGAGAACCGTTATGTAAGTGTGAGGATAAAGAGCTAATGGTGATTGCCATTAACAATATGTAGTCATTATAGATGGCTCAGGTTGTAGTGTGCATTTTGCTGATACAGCTAACAAAGATGTTTTCTGACATTCTGCTGAGTATTTTACAGGATAGATGAAAGGAGTGCTTCTGGGCACCAGAAAAACAGACTGCTATTGACACAGTTTTGCTGTACAGAGTCCAGACTAAGGGGTATATTAGTTTGCTAAGGCAGCCATAACAAAATACCGTAGACTGGTGGCTTAAACAAGATATTTTTTTTTCTCACAGTCTGGAGGTCAGACATCCATCATCAGGATACCTGCATGGTTAGGTTCTGGTGAGGTGCTCTTCCTGGCTTACAGACAGCTGCTCTCTTGCTGTGTGCTCACATGACCCCATCCTCATGTCCTCATTTAACCATAATCATCTTCCAGGGGCCCCCATGTCCAAATACTGTCACATTCGGGTTTAAGCTGTCAGTTGTTTCAGGGGAGCACAATTCAGTCTGTGACACGCAGGTGAGATTCATATTACTGTTTCCAGAAGACCCTCAGAGAATCATACTTGATTTTGTATAAAATTATAAAATTGAAGGCAGGTTTTTTTTGCCCTTGATTTATCAATAGCAGCCTTGTAGTTGGGAATAAAGAAGACATACTTTTTTTCCCGCTTGTGCTCTGTCTACTGAAGTCATTTAATTGAATTGACATGCCATAGGGTGGCTTAATTGTACTGGAGTTTTGCTTACATACAAGTACTTTCTGATTTTTTTCATCAATCGGAAAATCTTTAGAAATGTAGAAAAATAAGAATTACTAGATTTATATTTTCTTTAACTTGCACCTTAAAATAAGTATCTTAATATTTCATTTGTGTGATTTTATAAATCATCTGTAAAATAACTTATTAGCTAGAAGGATTACATTTTATCTATAAGGTCCATCAAATACCATTGTTTTAGCTATTATCAGTTAGCTGTTTTACTACTGTGATTGCAGCATTAGATTTGTTAACAGTCACTATTACAAAGGAAAATGGTTTTTAAAACAAATGAACCCAAGATAACTCCTGATTAAACATGTTTTAAAACCAGGCACGTTAGTAATGTAAGAAAGACCAAAAGTAGTTATGTACTGAGATTTGCCTTAAAAATATCTGGTGAAAGCATACCACTTTGATTGATGAATGATGTTGACTATTAAAAAATATCTCTTGGGTATATGCATCAAACATGTATCTTTTTAGGAATTTTTCCCCCTAACCTTTTAACAAAAGAAATACATGTTAGTTATAGAACATTATGGAAAAGCTAAAAGGAAGAAAATTAAGATAAAGTATAATCCTTTTACCCAGAGGTAACCATTCTTTGTTTTTTACTGCACACCATGATTCTTCGGAGATAACCATTCTTAATAATAACAGTCTATACTTGTGGTTAGTCCTGGTTTCCTAGAAAACAGCGCAGACAGGCTTAGCTGCTAAGGCTTTAATGGGAGGTGCAGTTTGAGGGCAAGAATGAAGAGAAAAGCTGGTCACAGATTTCTAAAGAAGACACAGGTGGTTTGCAGTCATGTTGAATAACTTACAGACTTTGTGGACCCACCATGCCTTAGAAAGGTCGGATGATAGAGGAATGGATTTGGATTCGGACAAGGATTTGTTTGCTGGCACCTGTCTTTCATTGGTCAAAGTTTTCTACATCCGGCATTAATGCCTCCAAACTTTTGGATTGTGGTTCCCTGGGAACTAACACCCGGAAGTAGTCAGGGAGTTATAGCCTCCTTTCCATCTTCACAATTCAGGAGTACCTGAATGTACTCTCAAGGTAGCTTGAATCTACCAGAGGTGTTAGTAGACTGAGCCTCTCCATTGATTGGCAGCCAAGGCCTGGGTTGAGAAAGATGAATCTGGGGCCATATATAAACTGTATTTGCCTCAATTTGTTTTTAGTCTTTGTATACATCTGTAATTAAGCCTTTTTAAATAAAAATGGGTTCATCATATAATTTATTGATAATTGTTATTCTCCTTCAGGATAAATCTTGAAATATCTTTCTTTATTAAATATTCAGCATCCTTTAAAATTGCTATGTAGTGTTCCACTCTATAGGTAAGAGTAATTCATACAAAGAAATTCTTAAAATTTCAGTTATTTATAGATGGATTATGGTTTGAAATATTTATTCATTTAATGATAAATTGTCATCTTAAACTTTTATTTAGAAATAGTTTCAAATTTACAGAAAAATTGCCCCAATAAGAACTGTACAGAGACTACTCATAAACCCTTTACCTAGATTCACCTATTGTTAACATTTTCCCCACTTGCTATATCATTTCCACTCTCTACACACTTTTTTCCTTAGAGTAAGTTATTTATGCCACAGTCCTTTATCTCTGACTTTAATGTGTACTTTCTAAGAGGAGGGATAGTCTCTTTCATAATCAAAGTACAATTTACAACTTAAGTAAATTTAATACATAGTAAAAATCTGTCCATTTTACAGTTATGTTGACTGACCCAGAAATGTTCTTGATAGCATTTTCCCCCCTCCAGTGCAGGATCTAATTTAGGAGCAGGCGTTGCATAGTTGTCATGCTTCTTTAGTCTCCTTTAATCTGGATCATTTCCACAGCTTTTGTCTTTTATAACATTGTTGTTTTTGAGAATTAAGACATAAGTGATGTTGTATCCCTTTCAGGATATCACATCTGGAGGCACATGAGGTCTGACTCTTACTGATATTACTTTTGATCACCCAGTCAAGGTCTAATGTTTCCACTGTGTAGGTATTATTTTTTCCCTTGCAACTAATAAGTAATATAGGCAGATGCTTTTGGACCATGTAAATCTTGTGCTCCTTTTAAAACTTTGTGCCTACATTTAGCATCTGTTGATGACCCTTGCCTTTATTCTGATGGTCACAAAATGATTTTTCATTTCCAGATCTCCTTTCACATTTACAACTTGGCACTTGGTAATTCTCCTCCTTCCTTACCTACTTATTTATCTTTTTATTATTGGTATGGATGCATGGATTATTCCCCCCACCAATAATTTATAATTTATTTAGTCATTTTGGTGCTCAGATTACCCCTAGATTTAGCTACTGAAAGCCCCTTTCAAGCTGGCTCCTACGTCTGTCATATGCGTTTTTTTAAAAAGTGTGTCCTTTCTGGCATGACATGATCTTTTTGGGATTTACTTTGCATTAAAGGTGGTAACTGTGTGGTTAATTTGCTCAGAATATTTCTGGCTCAAGATTGAGAAGACTGACATAGTTATTTATGAGTCTTAACACTGAAAATTTCACTAAACAAATACACTTACTTAAAATCAAAAGGATTTGATATCCTTTTAAGTATTGAATTGCTTATATTTGAATTTTGTTAGTCAAAAAGTACCTTAAAATTATTTATACTTTTGTGGTTCTGTGAGACTACACATGATAATATAGGGTTGATTGTAAACATGAGAACACTGTAAGGATTTAAAATGATTGTTTTAGAATGTTAGCAATATATGAATCTTTCAATTGTTAAACATATATATAGTTAAATAGAATTATATATCCGTTGTAATATGATAAATTATAAGAGCCAGGTAGTATATTTAGCTACTCCTATTCATTGTAAACTATTGGGTAAGAGGAAAAGGATCAACTGTGAAATATCTTTAAAGAAAAAAACTATTAGAAGTCTGTACAAAATTGAATTCATTTGGTGATTATAGTTGTTTTATTGGTTTCTTTTGTTCACCGTTGTTTAATTTCAGATGTTAAGATGTATTAGAAAATGGGATTTTAAAAATTTTGAGTATTTTTAAAAAGGTAAACAGTTTTACCTTTATTGGTTTTTATGTAAAATAACTTGTACTTTTTGAAATTTTCCAGTGGGCAGAAATGGATCTGGAAAAAGTAACTTTTTTTATGGTAGGTATTGTTTTTTGAATTGTAAATATATTAAGACCTGGGTATCTTAGGGTAGTTTATTGAAATCATTAATTTTCTGAGGTTATGTATGCATGAAACCCAAGAAATACTTTATATGGGATTGCAGCTTAGTGTAGAGGGTTTAGAGTGTACAGATCTGAATTCTGCTTTATACCCAGTGGCTGATTAGCTATGTGAGACTGGGCAAAGCACGTAGCCTCTCAAATTGTTCTTTTCACTTTAAAAATGGAGATGTTTGGATGTTTGCCCTGTCTACCTTAGATGGTTTGTAAGAATGGAATGCAATAGTATGTAAGAAATTGCTTTTTAAACTTGAATGTAATATATAAGTGTTATAAATGCATATTTTAAATGTATGTAAATGCAGTAGAATAGTTCATAGTATTGTTTTGGAAAATGGTTCATCTTTCTTATTTCACCTTTTTAAAAACGTTTTCTAAACCAGTCATCTTTGTAAAGGATGAAGATATATAAAAAACTTGAAACTGAACAGACTGTTGTCAGTTTGAAGATAGTAAATAGAGCTTCGAAAATTCTCTCTGAAGATAAATTGCATTTAAGTATAAATAGCAATGCTTCTGTTAACAAATCCTTTGAGGAGAAAAACATTTTAACAAAATTAGACTGTTAAGGAGTAGGTTGAAAAATATGAACTTTTTAGTTAGGGTAATGCTTGAGGGAAAGGAGCATTTAGTGGACTGGCTTAATAAGAGTAAAGGTTCTGTCCCTTCTGTGCACACGAATCTGAAAGGTACTCTCTAGCCTGTATATCCTGTTGTGGTTGTAATTTGGCAATGATGAGAGAGTGGACTGAAGTGGAAGTATTTCAGAATCTCCAGGGTTGAGGGCAGTGTGAAGTCTCCTCACCCCGACCTGTGTCCACAGCACACACATTAATGCTTATGCACGTACTTGCTGATGCGAGCAACCCCCTCCCCCCCGCCCCGCACATACACACAATGCCGAGGTCTCTTGAGTGGACTGGGACAAGAACAGCTGAGTAAAGAGTTCCACTTTCTAGGCAGGTGGTCCAGTTAGGTACTCTATATGGAAGTAGGAATGGCCCCGTCTTACAGAGCTCAGTGTAATATAAGAAGTGTAGTAGAAGTTGGGCATCTCAAACATTTCCTTGTATTTCCTTAGTTTTATTTCTTTTGGTAAAGTATCCACTTAAGCATATTCTCATACATCCTATTTTGTTAAAAAAGATTTTAACTCATATCATTTATGTCTAGTGGGGAATAAAGCAAATACAGTGTTAACCTAATTTGGTCAGTGTACACTTTGAGCCGGAAGTATACCTTAGTTTTGCTTGTGTGTTTTCGTGTATCTCGGTGCTTTCTCTTTATTTTCTTACTTTAAATGTTTCAATAAAAACTCAGTATTTTTCTTATATCACTTCCTACCTGATTAGTCTTATGTGCAGGCACGTTTTCTGCATTTCCTTTTGTCTATATGAAACAGATAATTTATTTGCATTGTCTGTTACCAGACACACTATGTTCTGTTGAGGTGTGGGAAGTTATAAATAAGTTATAAACACTTTTTTAGGGTATACTAATAGTTGTTTTTGTATTTCCAGCAATTCAGTTTGTTCTCAGTGATGAGTTTAGTCATCTTCGTCCAGAACAGCGGTTGGCTTTATTGCATGTGAGTGAGACTGCTTTAAGACATTATTGATATTAAATGTATTTTAAAAATAAATTTTCCATGCTGGTTAAAAAAGCATTTGTTCAAATTTCAGATTCTTTGTGAACCAGACACAGTCTATCTCATAAGTGTGTTACTCTGCTGTGAAATTTATCTTAACATGTTAATGCCAGATAAAAGCCCAATTTTTTTTTTTTTTTTTGAGACGGAGTCTCGCTCTGTCGCCCAGGCTGGAGTGCAGTGGCCGGATCTCAGCTCACTGCAAGCTCAGCCTCCTGGGTTTACGCCATTGTCCTGCCTCAGCCTCCCGAGTAGCTGGGACTACAGGTGCCCACCACCTCGCCCGGCTAGTTTTTTTGTATTTTTTAGTAGAGATGGGGTTTCACCGTATTAGCCAGGATAGTCTCGATCTCCTGACCTCGTGATCCGTCCGTCTCGGCCTCCCAAAGTGCTGGGATTACAGGCTTGAGCCACCGTGCCTGGCCAAAAGCCCAATTTTTATGCAGTGGTTAGGAGAAAATTACAGGATTTGCCTATAGATATGTCCTCCATATAAATTTCTTAAAGGAGACGTGATATATCTCGTAAGTGTTTTATTCTGCTATGAAATTTAGCCTAACATGTTAATGCCAGATAAAGGCCTAATTTTTATACGATGTTTAGGAGAAAATTATAGGATTTACCTATAGGTGGGTATGTCTTCCATATAAATTTCTTTAAGGATGTGATCTGCAAAGGCTTAAAAGCACGTTTGCTGAGGAGAAAGAAGAGGAGTTTGAGATTGGAGATTAGGAACTTTAAGATGCGGAACCAAAAATTGGGAGCATAGAGAAACAACCATTGCAAACTAAACAACATACAAGTTGTTTGTTGTTTTAGCCATATTTGTACTTAGATAGTAAACATCATTTTCCAGTATGAAAAACAGTAGAGATGTTCTGCAACTTACAGTGGGGTTATGTCCTGATAAACCCATCATAAACTGAAAATACCGTAAGTCAGAAATGGACATTAACCTATGGTTGAGCAAAATGATCGAACACAAAGTCTGTTTTATAATAAAGTGTTGAATCTCTCATATAATTTATTGAATACTGTGCTGAAAGTAAAAAAAAAAAAAAAAAAAAGTGATTTTATGGGTACTCAAATTATGGTTTCTACTGATGGTAAATTGCTTTCACACCCTTGTTAAGTTGAACCATCTTAAGTCGGGGACCACCTGTTTATTTACAGTAATGTGAGAATATTTTATTAAATGGGTCCTTTTGTAATTCATAAGCACGATGATTGGGTTTTCGTTGTTCATGTGAGTCATGCCTCCCTCAAACCTTGTTAGGATGTTGGCACATTACCAATGTTATGTGGAAAAAAATATGAGTAATTGACTAAAGTAATTTTAGGATAGAAAATCGTGAAAGACTACAAAAAATGATGTAATTAATCCTTCTGGTTTGAATATTGCTTATTAAAGACTAGAAAATGAAATTCCTCAATATATCTTAACAGTGTTTCTCACACATAGGAAGTTTTTTCGTTTACCTCTTGTCTGTCTTTTCCCCTTGTTTAGTTTGAATTTGTAGCCCAGTAATCAGAATTGATTTCCCATAGAAAACTTTTTAGGTTTTTCAGATTGGCATTAAAATAATAACCTCTTTGGTACAGTTCTTCATTGTATTTACTACATAGTAACAGTTTCTATAATCTGGAAGGTATCTGGACTTGGTACCATAGTTTTTGTGTCACAGATTGGTTTAAATGTGACACATGTTAAATGTGTGTATTTCTATAACAGATTTAAAACTGTAGAATGTCTCAAATTTTTTTAAAAACCAGACTTTTGGTAATTATCCCATGATTTATTAGGATTTCTTTGCAGCATTAAAATGAGACTGTAAGAGAAGTCTTATGGTATGTTAGGTATTAGCAAATAGGTAGAATTAAATGGCCCCAGTCTTCCAGACTAATAAAGTGGTCTGTAGAATCAAATTTAAGGATATCTAACTTTGACATGTCTTGCATAGTTCTTATTTTTTATTTAGAATCAGAAACTATTTGGTTGAGAATTTTTGTTATCCTAATCTAACATCTCTGCTGTTTTGGCAAGAGGAATATATACTATCTCTCTGGGGATATCCCCAAAGTTTGTATCCCTCTTGCCAAAACATTAGAGACATTAGTGTGTGTGTATATATATGAGTCTAGTAGAAATTTTTCTCCATTGAATCAGACTTGTTATTATGCCCTAGACTTTAAGAATCCTTGTAAAGGATATCAATATACTATTAAGTGAAAAATTTCTCACTTTTTTCATTTTTAGGAAGGTACTGGTCCTCGTGTTATTTCTGCTTTTGTGGAGATTATTTTTGATAATTCAGACAACCGGTTACCAGTAAGTAACCTTTTTTTTTTTTCTAAATAATGCTGAGAATTTAATTGGAGTAGCTAATCTTCATACTTTGAAACTTTTTAAGCTTTTATAATTTGTTATAATTACAGTTTTTATAGATTTTATCTTAAAATTACAGTGAATACTCTGTTAACAAATGGGAATGTACAAGTTGTTGTGAAAAGTGTCTTGGTTAAGAGTATTAAGTATTCGTAGTATTATCTTTAGTGAGATAATTGAAATTTTAAAATCAATAGTTATGGTCAAGGACTTTAAAATGACCTTATTTAAAAAGTTTTCTCCTTCACTATTAAACTTTGGGCTTTTACATTTTCTCTTAGATCGATAAAGAGGAAGTTTCACTTCGAAGAGTTATTGGTGCCAAAAAGGATCAGTATTTCTTAGACAAGAAGATGGTCACGTAAGCATTTTTCTTTTTAAAGAAATGAATGTGTACTTAAATAGAGATGGGGTGTTGCTATGTTGGCCAGGTTGGTATTGAACTCTTGGCCTCAAGTGATCCACCTTGGCCTCCTAAAGTGCTGGGATTACAGACATGAGCCATCACGCCCAGCCAGCATTTTTCTTTCTTTTTCCTAATATGGAGTCTCACTCTGTTGCCCAGGCTGGAGTGCAGTGGTGCAATCTCAGCTCACAGCAACCTCCCCCTCCCCGGTTCAAGCTATTCTCCTGCCTCAGCCTCCTGAGTAGCTAGGATTGCAGGCACGCGCTACCACACCTGGCTAATTTTTGTATTCTTAGTAGAGATGGGGTTTTACCATGTTGGCAGGCTGGTCTTGAACTCTTGACCTTGTGATCTGGCTGCCTTGGCCTCCCAAAGTGCTGGGATTATAGGCATGAGCCACTGCCCAGTCGCATTTTTCTTTATGATTTCCTTACAAAAAAGTATTATTTTACCTGCTTCATTTATGAGGAATATTTGCTTCATCTTCGACAAATCAATATAGAGGATACACGTAAGAATCAGAAAGTTCTGAGGATGATACAGATGATTTATAATTACTGATCTGCCCTCCCTAATGCTATCAACCCAGGGGCTAGTCTACTCATTGCTTAATGGTGCTTTAAAATTACCTGAATATAATTTCATTGTTTGTCAACAGGAAAAATGATGTGATGAACCTCCTTGAAAGCGCTGGTTTTTCTCGAAGCAATCCTTATTATATTGTTAAACAAGGAAAGGTAAAACAATTGTATGTCCTTTTTTAATAGAATTTGTTTTCTGAGTAATTCTTGAGTGATGAATTTGGTTGATTCGAGTGGTTAAGCTGAAGCAAAAATGGCCATATCTTTTACATGGCCATAAAGTACCAAATACGTCTGTCCATTGCATGTTGAGATGGAAGTATTTCAGCATATTAAGTGGATCTTATTTTCCTAGCGACTGGTATTACTTACTGAGGTGAAAGTATGGGAAGACATTATTGGCTTATGAAAGTTGCAATAATTAAGAATATTGTAGGAATTCTATAAAAATCACATTTGAAAAACTTCCTAAAATTAATATTTTGTGTTACCCAGTTATTTATCACAATTAAAATACTGAAAAGCTAACATTACCAGAAATCTGCTATTTTGCTACATGTTATTTTCCCTAATAGGGATTGTGTTTTTTTACATTTTTTCAGCAGCCAAACTACATACTTTTTTAGCTGATTGTTCTGCTCTCTTCTCATGTACTTTCACTTTTTTTGGACTAGGGAAAATTCTCTGAATATTCACTTATTTTATACTGTAGGTTTTTTTTTTTTGGTATGTATTGGAAAGTTAGCATTCGGAAGAAGTGATTAGGAAGAATATGGAGTTTCAGTTTTAGAAAATGTGGTACTGGAAGAACAAGTTTTTTTCCCGATTTTACTATTTGTGGGAGAGGCATTTTTTTAAATAGAGGCTGATTTGAAAGAGCACTTTTCTGAGATCCCTCTGCTCTCAATGTAGGCCCTTTTACTTCATCTCAGTTTCTGCCCCTGTGCCATCCTTGATTGCCTCATCTAAAAGCATTGCCTTCCCCTCAACCCTATGTGCTTTATTTTCTTAATCTGTTTTATTTTTCTTCGTAACACTTATACTGTTAATACTTATTTTCTGTCTTTTTCCACTAGAATGTAAGCTCCATGAGGGCGGGACCTTTTCTGCTTTGTTTGCTCTTTTCCAGTGCCCCAGCAGTGGCACATATGTTGTAGTCATTTGATAAATAATTTTTAAGTGAGTAAATTGCTTGAACAAATATGTATAATTGGAGCACGCAATAATGAGGATCTGAAGGATGATTCTTTGATGTAGATACTTTTGATAGACCATATTTTCTTAGAGATAATTTCAATTTTTTAATGCAGTGGTATCATTTTTGATGTTTAGGGATACTTGTTATATATTAAGTTGCATGGCACTTAAGTTGTACCATTCTCTCTATATTTAAAGCATACCATTTTGTCATATCGTTAGCCTTCTGTATCTGTGGGTTCTACATCTGCAAATTCAACCAACCATGGATCAAAAATATTTAAAATAAACAAAATTTTAAAACAGTTCAAGAAATAATACAAATTTAAAACTACAGTATAACTGTTTACATTGCATTTATATTGTGTTACAATTAATCTGGAGATTAAAGTGTACGGAAGGATGTGCATAGGTTTTATGCAAATACTGTGCCATTTTATATAAGGGACTTGAGCATTCTTGGATTTTGGTATCTGCAGGGGGTCCTAGAACCAATTCCCCATGGAAAGTGGGGGAGAATTGTACTGTTAGTATATTATTATAGCTTTAAAAAAAAGTGTAGTCAGTGATGGTTTCCCCTTATAAAAATACTTTGTTTTTTGAGAATGGAGCTCATCTTTTGTACCTTATCATATTGACTAAGAAAAAGATGGTGGTGTGAGGTAACTCCTTCACTTGTTAGCCCTATTTCATAAAGGAGAATTATGAACGTAACAGTTGTATTTGGATTTTATTTGGTAAATTTAAGTAAAGGAGACATAGATATGTAGGCATATGTGCTATACAAATGACATTAGGCAAATCATAATCTATTTAAAACTTGGCATGTCACAAATTCAAAAGTCTGAAATACAAAATGCTCCACAGTCTGAAACCTTTTGAGTGTGGATGTGACATTCAAAGGAAATGCTTGTTGGAACATTTTGGATTTCAAATTTTTGGATTTGGGTTGCTCAGCTGGTAAGTATAAATGCAAATATTCCAAAACCTGAAAAAATTTAAAATCTGTAACACTTGTGGTTTCTAACGCTTTTGCATAAGGGATACCCAAACTTCATGTGTCTTAAAAACCTTTCAACGTGGAGTTCTTGTTCTTAAACGGAGGCTACAGCTATATAATGATTATTTTTCTAAAAATTTTAGATCAACCAGATGGCAACAGCACCAGATTCTCAGAGATTAAAGCTATTAAGAGAAGTAGCTGGTACTAGAGTGTATGATGAACGAAAGGAAGAAAGCATCTCCTTAATGAAAGAAACAGGTAAAATAAATGTGTTTCTGCCTTATTATTTTTGTTACAAATTACTGTTTTTGTGACAGAGTAGCTCCATAATAGGAATATAGTAGGTGTTTAGTATACGGCAGCAGTAGATAATGCTGTTAGTAATAAAAATTGAGAATGTATAACACCAATGATGTTAGTAGCTTTTAAAAATATTGTGGAAAGGCACACTGAGTTTTTTTTTTTTTTTTTTTTTTGAGATGGAGCCTTGCTCTGTCACCCAGCCTGGAGTGCAGTGGTGTGATCTCCACTTATTGCAACCTGTCTCCCAGGTTCAAGTGATTCTTCTGCCTTAGCCTCCCCAAGTAGCTGGGATTACAGGTGCCCACCACCACACCCAGTTAATATTTGTATTTTTAGTAGAGACAGGGTTTCACCGTGTTGTCCAGGCTGATCTCGAACTCCTGACTTCAGGTGATCGCCTGCCTTGGCCTCTCAAAGTGCTGGGATTACTCGTATGAGCCTCCATGCCCAGCCAGCACACTGACTTTTTAAAAGGAAGCTTAAACTGAGGCCCTTACTACATGTTATAAAAGAACCAGTGTCACCATGTGTAAATTTGTTCTGTGTTGCTTTTCATAATAAAGGATCTTAACCCATTTATGCCTAGCATTCCGTTATTGGAATCCTAAGCTTGTGGGTATTACCTATATCTACTGCCCGAGGTCATCGCCAAGGTCTGATTTTTCACAGAAAAAAATTTACAACCTCCAGCATAAACAGGTTAATTGGTATTTTAGTATTTTAAATTTGGTTACCACATTACATCAGAGAAATAATGCTACAGTTCTTAAGAATTTAATTCAAGGTATGTTGAAGAAGTGATACTACATAATTTTATTCAATTCTTCCATCTCATTTCGTTTAAGAGGGCAAACGGGAAAAAATCAATGAGTTGTTAAAATACATTGAAGAGAGATTACATACTTTAGAGGAAGAAAAGGAAGAACTAGCTCAGTATCAGAAGTGGGATAAAATGAGACGAGCCCTGGAATATACCATTTACAATCAGGAACTTAACGAGACTCGTGCTAAACTTGATGAGGTAAAATATTTACCTTTGACACTTAAAATCAGATTAATTTTGTTTTTGTGAATTTGTTAAACTCAGGCCGTAATTACACTTTTCAGTGATTTTAAATAGAAACTTAACCTCTCAATGAATTTATTAGTCAGCAAGTTTTTTCTTTTAAAGAAAATAGCCACGTGGTTGTTGCTGTATAGTATCATCTGAAATATAATCAGATGGTGTTATTAGGCAGATGAGAGGAAAATCATTTTGAAGGTTTCTTGTATTTTTAGAATGTATTTTGTAATTAGTATTGCTGACATTTTGTACAAAAATTTAGGTAGTGCTTCAGTTTTCTAGTTAAAAATCACTTTTAAAATTTTTGTAAAAAATTTGGTTACTTCTGGTTTATTTTCATATAAAAATTGTTATTAGATGTTATGAAATATTTAGTAAATACAAAATGAGTTAGATATAACTTTTTTTTTCTTCCTAGCTTTCTGCTAAGCGAGAGACTAGTGGAGAAAAATCCAGACAGTTAAGAGATGCTCAACAGGATGCAAGAGATAAAATGGAGGTAAGATTCTAAACAAGGTTCATGTAAACTTACTTTTTTCTTTTGAGACAGGGTCTTGTTCTGTCATCCAGGCTGGAGTGCATGGTGCCATTATGGCTCATTGTAGCCTTGACTTACCAGACTTAGGCGATCGTCTTGCCTCAGCTTCTCAAATAGCTGGAAGCACAGGTGTGTACCACCACACCTGTCTAGTTTTTAAATGTATTGTAGAGACAAGGTCTTGCCATGTTGCCCAGGCTGGTCACGAACTCCTGGGCTCAAGTGATCCCTCTGCCTCAGCCTCCTGAAGTTTTTTTTTTTTTTTTTTTTTTAGACAGGGTCTCACTCCATTGCACAGGCGGGAGTGCAGTGGCAAGATCACAGCTCACTGCAGCCTTGATCTCTCAAGCTCAAGTGATCCTCCCACCTCAGCCTCTTAATTTTTTTATTTTTTGAAGAGATGGAATCTCACTATGTTGCCCAGACTGGTTTTGAACTCCTGGGCTCACGGATTCCTCCCATCTGGGCCTCCCAAAGTGGTGAGATTACGGGCATGAGCAACCATGTCCAGCCATCGTATAGTTTTTGACCATAGTAAACCCTTTTGTACCAGAATTATGGAATGATTACCACAAGGGGGAGTTAGAGGAATTGAATATTGAAGAGTAGTACTAAATGTTAAGTGAAAGAGAATTAATGGTGTCACAGTTCTGCTGTTGTACTTCTAATTGCCTGACTTATTTTCTGTTTAATACTTTTGAATAGGATATTGAACGCCAAGTTAGAGAATTGAAAACAAAAATTTCAGCTATGAAAGAAGAAAAAGAACAGCTTAGTGCTGAAAGACAGGAACAAATTAAGCAGAGGACTAAGTTGGAGCTTAAAGCCAAGGATTTACAAGATGAACTAGCAGGCAACAGTGAACAGAGGGTAAGTTAAAATGCTAAAAATGAAAGACATGAATGTTCAGGTGAGTAGGAACTGCAGAAGACAGTCCTTTCTGTGACTGGTATGTCCTGGAATTTTTTTTAAGCTTTGCTATGTTAACATAATTTGTACTCAAGTAACAACTTAGTACTGTCCCTTTGTTACATTTAAAAAGTTTCATGTTACAGGTGGGTTTTCTTATGAAGTTTTTTTCATGAGAAAACGTGCTAGACCTAAATTATGCAAAAATTTTAAAGCAGTTTGCATTTTTACTTATCTTTATTTACAGAAACGTTTATTAAAAGAGAGGCAGAAGCTGCTTGAAAAAATAGAAGAAAAGCAGAAAGAACTGGCAGAAACAGAACCTAAATTCAACAGTGTAAAAGAGAAAGAAGAACGAGGAATTGCTAGGTCTGAGAACTTTCACCAACACTTTAACTTTCTTCATTATATAAAACTAGATAGTCCAAGGAGCTCAATTATATAGTAGCTGCTTTTTACACTTAATTCTTTTTGTATCGTTTCGAAAAATGGCTTTATGTTTCTGTGTACAGTTGACATTATTGGTTACAATTAAACTTGGTTATTATTTTCCTTTAATCCCATTCTCTTCTATTTTGTGTAGATTGGCTCAAGCTACCCAGGAAAGAACGGATCTTTATGCAAAGCAGGGTCGAGGAAGCCAGTTTACATCAAAAGAAGAAAGGGATAAGTGGATTAAAAAGGAACTCAAGTCTTTAGATCAGGCTATTAATGACAAGAAAAGACAGATTGCTGCTATACATAAGGATTTGGAAGACACTGAAGCAAATAAAGAGAAAAATCTGGAGCAGTATAATGTAAGAACATTTATAGCCACTTTGTAAAGATCTTTTAGAAGAGATAAACATGTTTAGTTTTATCTACTTCAAGTTTTGTTTATAAATAAGTCTACATGTGACCTTAAAATATATGACAGATACTTATTTAGAAAAGGCTTGCACAATATACATATAGTTCTCTTTTTTAAGAATGTTCATGTCATTGAGCCTTTATGTAGATTAAGTATATTAAAATGTATGTATGTATTTTTAATTTTTTTGAGATAGGGTCTTGTTCCATCACCCAATCTGGAGTGCAGTGGTACAAACACAACTCACTGCAGCCTCCACCTTCCAGGCTTAGCGATCCTCTATCCTTAGCCTCCTAACTGGGACCACAAGCATGTATCACCATGCCCAGCAAAATTTTTTTTTTTGTAGAGACGAGGTCTTGCCATGTAGCCTACGCTGGTCTCGAAATCTTGGGCTTAAGCAATCCTCCCACCTTGGCCTCCCAAACTGCTGGGATTATAGGCGTGAGCCACCATGCCCAGCTTAAAATATGTTTTTATGAATTGGTAGCATGTGTCTTACATACCCTTAATTTTGACAAGATGTCACATATGTCTAAAACAACTTGTAACTTTTTTTTTTTTTTGAGATGGAGTTTCGCTGT